ATTTTAAGTCATGATAGCCAGGCTTCGGACTGAGATTTGGACGCGAGACTTCTGGATGCTTGACCGAAATGCTAACCACTCGACGCAACGTTCTGTGTTGTTTATAGATATTTTAAAAAATAACAGATTGTAAATTGCATGCTATGTCTGTTGACTTAATAAGAGAAATTATTTACACTGGCCATTTACATCTTCAGTATTTTTTCACTTTGGACCCGTCAATATTACCCTTAGTTTACATCAGTGCAATAATAAACTATGTAATGTGGCGTAAATGACACCTCCAGAATATTATAGGTCCTTGCTGCCTCCATAATCAGGGCGATCACTCATCGTCCTGACCTCTGAAACGTTTTAAACTTCTACCAGACTACACGGCACTACAGCCCACAAGACAGTCATCTTTGGACAAAATTTAGACGTAGTTACTACGTAAATGCAAATACCACGTCTTCAAGTACTGAGCAGTCATGCGTCATTGAACGACTCAGCAAATGCACTCTTAATATGGATAATTACTGACACGTAAAATGCATTTACAACGGTAATAATATAAACAAGAACTTCTGGAAGAAACGTTGTTAGTTTTTATTAGCCAGCAACACAGAAGGCTTTGCGATATTCGACTAAACACACACAGCTCTGATGTCGTCTGTTTGCGCTTGCGCGTTTGCTACCCAGATCCAGAAAGATCTTGGGAGTTGCGCAGGACGAAGTGATAGTTGCTTTCCACACAACCGAGGTCATTGTAAAGACGTTGTATGTAGCTTTCATTGTTGATTTTAAAAAAATTTAACATGTTAATATCGCAAGAATTAAAAAAAATTGTTTTGTTAAATTTCGTGTGCTTTTAAGAACGTAATAGTCTGAACTGCTAAAGAAAAACAACAAATAAATAAACAAATTTATGGATTGGGTCCAACATCGTACGTTTTAACATAATGTTGTCTAAGCCGAGGTATAAAATCAGACACAAATAGCCCCGTGGTTTCCACGTCGGATCCAAACATTCGCAACAATGGAAGCACGCAGGCTTTAGCAGGATGCCGTTACGGTTGGACTGTGCTCAAACGTTTCCTGGTATCCACTGAAATTCTGCCTGTCGTGTATTTTTAAATAGTCTCATACACGATCAGCCTTATCGACGAGCTACAAAACGATAACAGAAATTTTTGGTACAGTCCCCACCCGATATATACCACATTATCAATATTCGTAATAATAATTTCAAAAGTTAATTATCCTTTATTTTAAACTTTGATTGTAATAAAGTTTATATTTTCCCTTCTTGGGCCGTATGACTATCGGTATACTGAGGACGCTGGATGACCGCGGTTCGATTCCCGATGGGCATAGTTTTTCTCTTTGTCACAACTTCCAGATCGCCTCTGGGGCCCTCCCAGTCTCCTGTCCAGTGGTTACAGGGGTTCTTTCCTCGGTGGTAAAGCGGCCGGGGCATGAAGCTGAGAACTCACATCCTTCTATTGCCGAGGTTAAAAATAAGTGGAGCTATACCTCCACTCCTCCATACGTAATCGTGGCTTAGCGTAGTTAAGCGTCAGGGACAACTTTTCGTACCTTATACTATTCACTTTTCCGTGGTTTCTGTTTTACTCTTTCATATGTGCGTATAAAATGTTATATTTTCTTACGCGGACATTGTTTTGTTATCTAAGCGATCTTTAATGTGTGTCTATTAATGGAGTTGACGAATTATACGCAATCTCCCGTATATCCGGGGACCGTAGGAGAACTCAGTTATTTGGCAAAATTCGGAAAAAATGTAAAGAGGTAAAAGTTTTTACAAATCATGTGTTTACCATCTCAAATGTTGGAATTTATTCCCTAGGACGAGCCGTTACGATGCTATATTCGTTGTATTATTAATGGTATAAATTATGGCGATGTTGCCATGTTGACATGACAGCGAAAGAGAGAGTTTCCGATAGTATCTTCACGTTTTTATTTTAGATAATTTTCAGTTTATAAACTTGAAATTTATTCTTTTCTTCTCTCAGTGTGTTGCCAGGTAAGGTAATGTAATCCCAGAAACGTTTGATCGTGTATGGTAGCCCGCTGCCCTAGCTCGAGAACTTCCTGCAACGTCCCTATAAATCACTGCGAGTGGCAGATACTTTCATCGTCACTGTGACCCATGGTTTATGGATGACATCATCTTCCATTTTTATACATAGTTCTTCTGACACGTAACTTGTATATTTAACAAGGCATTAAATTTTCAAGTGAACCCATAAAATTCAATCAAAAATAGTACTTACTCATTCACTATCGAGTGTTGTCTAGTCTTTAAATTTTAAGTTCGTTTCCAAAAGGAAAATCAAATTTTCCGAGATTGTAGGCCTACTATAAAGTAGGTCATGATGACAGATTACAGTCATTGAGAAATCATAAATATGGTGTCGTGTAGTTTCGTATAAATTTACCGGCGTTGCAGAGGTACTTGTGCCTCCATCTTCATCATGACTCATCGCGTTGATGCTGGTGACATTAAGCACCTCTGAAACGTCGGTTAATTTCTACCAAACTACACATCGTAATATCCCAGAATACATATTCGACGCCGTTAGAACCTGATGTATCACACACATAATCAAGCTTTTACTTTGATGCTTTCAGCCAACCTTAAAAGAAAATTATTCCTTTTGTAAAACATAAATTATCTTTCAGAAATTTGTGATTATACTTTTATCCCACCCCAGAGGTATTAATTGCCTCCACATTGAAGTTATTAACACATTGTTTTAACAAAAATATGGCTTCGCGGCGACCAACAATATAATGACGTTTCTACCTTTCTTCATTAAATAATGTGAACTAATGTAGCATGTTTTGTATTTTATTAAAGATCTACACGGACTGAAATTTTAGAAATGTGCCCGGTTCGGCCCGAGGACGATTTGGCCCTAATCCGTAAACCTTCTAAGTCCGACTTCCTTTTATTACACCCGGAGTAAAACCCGATATATTTAAAATCCTCTCTGACTGTCGTTTCATTAGTACATGTTTCTTTCAATGCAAAATGCCAGTAATCTTTCTATTATTTATTTGACGATACCCCAAGAACATCGGAGGTTATTTTACCGTTGAGGAACGGTAAAAAGATATCGGATGCGAGGTTTGTAAGACGTTATATCAAACTATTTTTGCGATAGGCTGCTACGAAAATCCCTAGGAACAATAAGTCGGTCACAAGCATATGACAAGAGCAACTATAAGTCGCGCGAGAAATGCTGGCACATGCGCAAAGGACTATTTTTTGTCGTATGAGACGGACCCGTCCGAAGCACGCGCTAGAGGGGTGTCAGCTTCTGTTGGTTTGTAGCTCTAGCTGCGTTTAGTTCGGTGCGTCACCGCAGCTGAGGCTGTGCGATCCCCACTACTACCGAACTCCCCTCTCTCGGTTTACACATCGCGCACTTAGGTGCCACCACTGCTCGCGCGACCTATACACAATAGCTTTTTCTTTGCGGAAAAAGTATGGCCCGAGGAAGCCCGAAATGAACGAATTGCTATCATATGAACCCGGTCCTCTGGAATCGCCGTAGAAGAGATTTATCGTCTTCACTGCCATGCTTAAGATGTGTGCAATTTGAGCGTTTAACCTGTACTGTAGGAGTTGCTTACTGCATACAGTTTAAAAACATGGCCGTTTGTTTTCAGAACCAAACTACGTCCCTCAACCCAGGTCTCTCATTCCTTCATTTTATTGTTATTTTATAATTCTTTCCTAAGCTTCCTCGGTGTATTTAAACTTCTTTCTCTTTTCTTCTGCCGCTTTTCTCTTTTATAAAAATACTAGCAGAATGTCCGTGTGTTACTGCTAGGAAGTTCGACAAATACTTATTTTTATCGACTTTTATTGCTTGAAAACTTACCATAGGCGAACACACACACACAATTTAATTTTCGTATAAGCAAGGAAAAACACCTTTTTCTTCCACACCTACCTCTAGGCTGTGTAGTTGTTATCGTTCATTCTTGTTATTCAAGAATTCACGGGTCCGATTTTTGGCACATGACAACAGCCTATTTCTTCAACGTTCTTCCAAATTCGTCATTGACATCGCCCTGTCATTCGACGTAGGTGTACGCAGATCAGAGAATAATATTAAAATGGGTCGTGAAGAAACCGTGTGAGGATGTCAATTGGATTAATTTGAGTCACGGTAAGAACCGGTGGCAGGCTTTTGTTGACATGGTGATGAACTTTAATGTTCCGTAAATGACGGTGAACCGCCACGGTGGTCTAGCGGTTAGAACGCTGGCCTTGTAATCCTGGGGTCCCGGGTTCGATTCCCGGCGGTGCCCGAATTTATAACTTGTGTTGGGCAAGGCCGTGATCTAGGCAACACGGAGATTTCCTCCGGGGCTTCCCCGGTTTCTCCGTGGCATCCCAACAATTACTCCATTCACACACAGAAGAAGGCAATGGCAAACCACTTCTGGATCATCTGCCAAGAACGTATATGAACAGGTCCCAGTCTGAGAAAAGGATGGAAGGATCCTGTTCATATGGACCTGTCGCCAGACAGAACACTAAATAAAATAAATAAATGATGGTCATTTATTTTCCTCGCTCAAAAAAGACATTTTCATGGAGTTGAAGTAGTCAAGTATTTTAAAGGACGTGGTCGTGGCCTATTTCAAGATATTGTCCCCGATCTCCGCCTGGAGACATTGGGGTAAGTCACGATGACTGATACCAGACTCAGATTCGGATTGCATTTCTCCCGAATAGAAGTTCTAAACGTCACCGCTACACTAACCTTCTCGGTAACTCACATTGTGACGTAATTGTGTAGGGTTACAGTCCCAGAAGTGGTAGAAATCTTGATTTTGTCCAAGAGATTGCATGACTAATAGGGTTGGTTACCTGTCAGTATTTGTTTTACTTATTACGGTAATATTGGCAACAGTGCTGGTGCTGTGATGTTGATCAACTGGTTGTGGATTCGTATAATTTCAAGCGAAAGGCAGCAGAGCCGGTTAGTCGCACCGATCTGCGCAGACGCTGACGAACGTACAAGAAGTACTCGCGCATTTGTATCACTAGCAGTTCGTTTTAGTGTAGTCGAGAGTTTGGTTCGTTCGATTATCGAAGTACGAGTGTACCTTGTTTTATAAAACTCTCTTGCGTGAAAGCTCAAGGAGGTAAGTGAATCCCATTTGTTATTTTAATTTGTTTCTTCTTCTCAGAAATGTATATTAATTTAATTATATTTTCCGTTACATCTGTTCACAAGCAACAGATCCGAAGTTGGCCGATTTCGATCAAATTATGTATGGTGTATCTGTACTGAATTTAAAGAACCGCTTTTTAATTTCGTTTAGTTCAGTTCATATGAAGGGTTATTTTACCTGAATTAATATTTCACCCGTATGTTTCGAGCATTTTGACAGAACTTTATAAAAATTGATACCGTCGTGGGATGTTTCATTCGCATTTAATTTATCTTCAGGTCCGCTTTCCTTAAGGACCTAATTTAACTATAAAATTTATATTTCGAATATTTTGACATGTTCTGTTTAAGCTTTGTTTTGCCTATATGTCGGAATATTTCCATGTGTGAGTTTAATGTACTTAAATAATTTAAGCGCCTTCTTACTTTCGGAATGTATTAATTTTTGTATGGAACTTGATCTGCCAAGTTCCACTTACTATATTTCCCGCCTCCCTTATGGATCATAAAAAATATTTTTAGCCTTACCTTCCTTGGTGTTAACATAAGAGAAACAGATATCCATAAAATATGCCTTTTGTGTCTATAAAATTTGATTTTTTAAGAAAATTAATATACGCCAATTAAAGCGTTATCCAACCTCCTGCCATGTAGCTGTTGTTCACTCGATTTATAATACACTGCGTTTTTCCAAATACCAGAACAACACTAACCTCAGATACCACTGCAAGTATGTATTTTCCCTCTGTTTTAAACTTTCAAGACGTGTTTCCAAAACACTGTGTGACAGCCTATTAATTTCTTCGTGTGTGTCAGATTTGGTGTTGTGTTATTACTAAAACGCATGGTCCAAATAACACAAACTTTATTTGAAAGCATAGGTACATTTGGGCTTTGAAAGATTGTCGTGTTACACATCTTCATGCAGTCCTGCTTTCGGGTAATGGCAGTCCAATACTGAAATGGGAATCATATACATTTAACATAACATTAACAATAAAATGAGTGCTTGAATTAAAACGTTGGCTCCAAAGCGATTTTTTGCTGTCATAAATTTCGTCATGACTCACCGGTGACTCTTGCACTATAATTAAAAAAAAGAATCTGTACTGTACGAGCCATGCGATACTCCGGTGGCCGTCACAGAACTCCTGAATCTTTCTTGTCCCAGCTGTGGTGCTAGAAATGCAATTCACACCACAAACACTGAGCCCCCCAATAGGAGATGTTGTCCTCTGACCCAAAGGTGTTTCTCGCGGTACTGAAATTTAAATTTACGTGACCCACCGGTGCCCCTCAGGCGAGCCAACGTGTTAATAAAATAATAAAAAAAGTCCCATTCGAGACTTTTGCAGAAGTCGAAGGTTTATTACCGTGTTCACAAGAACTTGACTCGCCTGTAAATTCTCTGAGTTGAGTTGTCTTGATACAATCACATTTTACTGCAGGTGAGATGAAATTGTCCATGGCATAACTCATAACATTTGGAATTTTTAAGCCGTGTTCGCTGTTTAGCGACACTGTGCCAGATACATGGATGATTTCGACCGATGACAACGAATATTGCCTATTTGAAACGATTCTCCGCGGAAAAACTGAGGTAAAGCACGACATCTAGTTTCATATTAAATGCGGTTGACTCTGATTTATACGTGTTTCATCGGTTAGCGTTAAATTCTGGGATGAATTCTTACAATTAAGTTTGCCTCTATGTATTTTATGTGGATGTGATAATTTATAATCTTCGCCAGATATTTTTAGTGTCATCAAAAAATGACGAGGCAGGCGGAACAAATGACACGCTGGGTAAAGATAAATGCGTACAAAATTTTAATCGCAACTAACACATGCGCAAAACCATGGGGATTCCTGATTGGAATAGAAGTTTTTACTTTGTCCTCTGTCCATTATACGAGCTAAGAACAGTCGGATCTGCTAAATCCCTGCATGAAACTGAGAGTGATTTGAGGCGTTTTTACGTATCTGATTCCGTGAAGCAGAGTCGTACATGAAAACGCAGCAGCCGCTCGCCCCATTAAGAATTTTTTTTTGTCTTTTTATGAGTTCCGAAGTTTACAGGACGTAATTGCTGCAATGTGTCTTGAGTAAATTAAATCCAGTTCACATTCACACTCTGTAGCATATATTTCAAGATCCACATTTGTATTACCCTCGCATCTGTACTTAGGTTTTCCAAGTGGTCTTTTTCCCCTCAGGTTTTCCAACTAAAATTTCTTACATTTTTATAATTTTTCCCGTGCATGGTATTTCACTAAAATTTAATTTCCCTTGATTTATTCACCCTAATAATATTCTGTAATAATTACAAATAGGAAATAGGATTTGAGGTTTTCACGTCGGTGATTCTGAAGATGGCTGTCTTCTGGGTTGTATCGCCGTGTGGTCTGGTAGAAGCTTACCGCTCTGATGATGGAGACAGTAAGGACCTCGAAAACATCGGTAAATGTCTACCGGACTACACAGCGCTGCAACCTAGAAGCCAGCCATCTGCAAATAGGAAGTTCCTCGCCCAACGATAGACGCTGTATAGTCTGAGCTACTTAAAAAGCGTCGTTAAATAAACTATAAATAAATTAATTCACCCAACGAGGATACCTGACACTTTTATAAAAAAGATTGGTTGTTATTACACTGGTTCAAGATTTGTTTCTGTAGAAATATTAATTATACTGTGTTGAAAAAATTACTATCACGTTTCTCACCGACTTCAATTAACATTAGGCAGTGTCTTCGAAAGAGTTTTTGTGAGACACACAAGCAGTATTTAGGCTAATGCCGTTAGTATTCGTTTAGTACCAACTTTAAAAGTTTCATTGTTATGTGGAGTAGTGGTTTGTGAACCTGTGAGATACAAATACAAAGTGCTGTAGATAGTGTTGGACTTCGTAGGTTACAATTAAATACGAACATTTGCTTATTCGAGTTAATTTCGCAACCTCCTTTCCGTGGCAGCTTACGATTTCTCTTACTTGAAAAATCCTGTTTAGTTTCCTAAAGTTTCCTTTCTGCTAGCTTCCAGTGCCGTAAACATATGAAGCGCTCTCACGCGTTCCAACGACGCTAGGCTAGTGGACTGGTTTAGTATGACACGGTGTTCGTAGTTGTGTGTTATCAGGCATTGTACGAGGTTCGATCGGAAAGTTTCAAGACTGCGCGTATAAAAACCCGTACACTTATCTCAGGTATTAAATTCATCCATCACCCTTGAAGTAGTTTCCGTGGGAGTGAACACAACGATCCCAGCGCCGCTGCCAAGCCTGGAAGCATCCCTGGAAATCTTTCTTTGTCAGCCTGTCAAGCACCATCTGCGATTCTGCCTGAATCTCTTGCCAAAAACTCGCCAAAACGGCTACGGAAACCTATGAAATGCTA